CCACCAATTTGGATCACTTGTTGTTCCCTTGTCCCTGGGTTTGTTATCACCACTTCCTTTCCCCCCACCACTCCCTATCCCAGGTCCCCCTAGAACTGTTGGTCCTGTTGTTTTCTCCTCCAAATTGTTCATCCAGCCGGTCTTATCCAGACAGACCTGCGGAGACAACAACATGCACACAAACAAGACAGAGCAAAACCAGAGCTTGGCTTACTTTCATTCCTTCCTATTCTGGTCATCTTTTTGGGTGTCATCAAAACACACATGCTTGTTCTTTTCAATTTTTCGTAGCCCATTCTCTCCTCAGCTGACATGAAACGCCACCATTGTATCTAAGGCAGCTCTTCTATGGTTATTTCTTTAACTTGTCAGCACTAATATGTGCAGCTTTGTTTTAAGCATTCCACTATAAAAATCAACCTGACATTTTGTCTCTGCTCATTTTTAATTCCCTATTAAGCTATTATTTGACTATTGACTCTAGGAGTTGCTTGGTTCCAAACGTTCTGTAATACAAGCATCCTCAGGTTACAAGCCAGATCCTTCGTTATGTATTGAAGTCTTTAAATGGAATCTATGGCGAGTCAGAATATGTGTGTACTTCAATGTTTTAAAATATGCTATGGAAGTGATTGTGATGAAAAATGTTCTGGTAGTGGGTTGATTTAGTCATTTCAGAGTGAGGACAAATTTGCAGAGTATTTGAAGTCTAGCAGGAGTAGTTCATCTATAACTTAGGGACTGCCTTTATCGTCTATTGTTATTACTCTTTATAGGTCTTTAACCCCTATCAACCTCTGTCCAGCTATGTGTTCTTCTCAGCTAACCTTCTTGAAAGCATTTTTTGGTCATGGTTTTTTCTACTGCCTCACTTTCCTTTCTTTCCTCAACATAATAGAGTGAGTCCACTCTCCACCAAGTCTAGTGAGCTCTAAATGCAATGGTCACGTGCCTGCTTTAGCTATCTTAGTGTCTTCAGTTTTTTCTCCAAGCACTTCCTTCTCTTTCCTTTGTTATACCTCACTCTCCTAGCTAGATATTGGGAGTGCCATCAGGCATGACTCAATAAAAAAACACCCAAACTCATTGCCATCGAGTTGATGCTGATTTATATCATCACAGGACATGGGAGAACCCCTGTGAGTTTCCAAGATGGTAACTCTTTACGGGAGTAGAAAGCACCATCTTTCTCCTGTGGAGCAGCGGGTGGTTTCAAACCCCTGACTATGGAGTTAGCAGCCCGATGTGTAACCATTATGCCACGAGGGCTCTAGTCCTCCTTAAATTTCCTGAAATCATTTCTTGGAATCTTTCTTTTATTCTGTTTCAAGAAGAAACATGAATGTGCAGTGATTGAACTGCCAACCCACACCAAACCTGTTGTCAATGAGATCATTTCTGATTCATGATGACCCCATGTGCTATGGGACTGCTCTATAAGGTTTTCTTGGCTATCCTCTGTATGGGAGTAGATGTTCAGGCCTTTCTTCTTCAGCACTGGTGAGGTATTCATGTGCAAACTGTAGTGCTTGTGGACCTTGATCCCTGTGCTGAAATACACAGATGATTATATATTACTTCAAATGCTAATTGGTAAACCGGAATTTTTTTTACTTTGTTACGTAATTTTAGAGATTAAAGACATCAATGCAAAGTTTGAAATGTCTTATATGCTTATAAAATACTTCATGCATTTGTGAAAGATTATACGTGTATTATCAGACTTATTCAAAATACACAATTATTATGCCATAAAATCAATGTAGGAAAACAGTTTTTATAGGTGGATTATACTGTGTAAGAAATCTCTCACACAATTTCTTTCAAGAGCTATCGTAAGTATGAACTTAAAGAAACAAGTATCAGCAAACAAGCGTGAGAGAGGACAGGAAGATGGAAGAAATAGAAATGAAGCTTTCAAAGAAGGACCGTTTACCTCTGTCTGAGTTTGCACTCATTCCACGTCCTATGTGGAGTGCAAGCACCGATCCCCTGCCCGTTTGTCAGTCGTTTCATTAAGATGTAAGTCGTCTTTTGTGAAGCAGCCGGTGTTGACATAAATGGAAGTGCATCCACTCACAAACCCCCAAGCCATACAAGAAAACGGATAGCCCAACATTGGGTTCCTTATTATTATTTTTTCTTTCTCAAAGAGTTGCTTTCAATGTAGTCTTGCCTTCTCTATATTAACAATGCCCCTGTGATTTCAACCCTCTGTAAGGCGGTTGAAGAACAGCAAGGGATCTGCAGACGGACATCGATACCTTTTTCGTGGCAGGATCAACACGGAGGTGATGGAAGTTGAGAATGTGGACGATGGCACAGGTAGGGACGTCGGTGGATTTGCATTGGATCGCCTCTATTAAATCCTTCATGAAACAGGTTTCTCACTCGGATAATTGATGTACACTGTCTTACCTTGGAAAGGTTTTGTGAGGGAGAGCAATTGGGTCGAAGGAGTAGAAAGGTGAGCTAAGGCAGTGGGGGACCTTTGTAAAAGAGGAAAGGTAGATTTGACAGGTGTATACTAGCAGTCAATACAGAGATACCAAGAAAAAGCTGGCTAGTGTCTTCACATAAAATTCCCTTTTTACTGTTCCTGGCATAGGGAGTACATATGCAGAACATGTTAATGAATGAGTAGATTTTCCTTAAGCTACACCATAGTTTATAATAGATGTATGATACTTGCAAGAATATTTTATTTTTATATTATATTCACCCTAAACATAGCATAGTCTTACTTTATTTTAGTTGCTTAGCTGTTAGGAGTCTGAGTTTCATAAGCAGATTTTGATCGACTGCCAGCTGAATGGTTTGAAGTTTGAACCCACACAACAGTTCTGAGGAAGAAAGGCCTGGCAATTTGCGTTCTTTGAAGACTACAGCCAAGAAAATCCCGTGCAGCAGGTCTACCAGGCTGCTGTGAGTCAGCGACTGACTCAGACAACTAAGGACAACAGTGTAGCCATTATTAACATAAAGAAACCCCCAGTTTTCTTGTATACAAACTTGGGGGTGGAGGCAGGTTGTGTAATTTTAAGGGCTCCTTGTAGGGAAACTTCTCTTTTTAGTTTTGAAGATAAACAATTTTAGCAGCAGCATCGTAAAATGGTGGTTATTTATAAGCACTGAATAAAATGAAGTTAAAATAAAATTTTCTTTTCAATTTGAAAAAACTATTTTATAAGCCACAAATGCTCGGTAAATGGGATCACATGTTTACCCCATGAATTTATTTACAAGTTCAAAGATACGTTCTCAGGAGAAAAAGTAAGTTCTGAAACTAAATATTCATTACTGCTAAATGACTTTGACTTTCATGTGGGGCAATGCTCTTATGACATTAAATATAAACATGGGATTGGGGCCTAGGCTATTTGTGCTCCCTTGCCACCACCCTCAGCTGTTTTGGTTGAGTCTCACAGAGAATGTTTGTCATCTGTCTCAGGAGCACACTTTTTTAAATGCTGCCCTGCTAACCATTTCCTTACACATATCTCTGAATACTAATGAATTGCCAGGTACTAGGATTGATGAACCAGAATTGCCACAGGCAAGGGAGCTGGACATGCAGTAATCCACCTTGAAAGATGACCCAAACTGGATATTCGGCATTGTAGAAAGAGGCTCTTCATTGACTGAAGGTGGGATTTGGGTGTGGAGCTGTACCTCAGCTGGTAGACACCTCCCCATTCCCATATTGAACACTCTAATACAATTATAGCCTCCTGTCTTGCTAACAGGTGGGACCTAGTAGGCCAGCTTTACATAGTGGGATGTACACATGGTACTTTTATAAGTCAGCAGGACTTCATTTTAATGCTTTCTGTGAAAATGGTTCAATAACATTTAGAAATAAGTGAAATATCTGAAATGTTAACTTTTGTAGCCTCGCCTTGGTCACCGTAGCGCTTAAAAGAACACACAACACCCTGTGTTGTGCTTGACAGGGATGGGGCGGAAGTCAGATAGTCAAGAAAGGCACGCTCGGGCAATTCCTCTGTTCTCTGTCGGCCCTGCCTCACCTTAGTGGAGCCACTTCTCCCGTGATGCTCTAGCACGCTCTTATGTTCTTCCCTTTGTATGCTTCCCTGGAGGCCAAGAGCTCCTGGCACCACTCCCTGTGGTGCAGAGCCCCAGTTCTTGTGCCCCATTTTGTTCCTTTTTTGGTACTAGCTGGTTCAGTCATGAATATCACAATTAGTTAGGCAGAAAACTCAAGTACAAGATACAGAAATGTGAGAGCCCACCCAGGGCCTCTGCACACTGTGGTAAAAAGTCAGGCTCTTGGTCTGTTTGTGGTAGATGGTAGATGATGAAAGCTCAAGAGAGGTGGCTGTGGCTGGAATTTTAATGGAAAATAACCTTCAGATTCAATCGCATAAGAACGTTCCATTGGTGCTGGTAAGAATTAAGCATTTGGGGCCACAGTACCTGTGAGGGTGGGGACGCTGTGAATGGCAAAGCCTAAGGCACCAGTAGGCATAGAGTAGTGGAGACGACAGGGTATATTGTAAGACATTCAATTTCATAAATTGTCTGCTACCATCACTTGACATAAACTTCTAAGACTCAATGTCACAAAATATGATGAAGACATTCATTACACTTTGCGTTGTTGAGTGAGGGCTTTCCACTCTGTTTTTCTCAAACAAGTGTCTAAGTTCCACATGGTGGGCAGTTGACTACTGTTAGTTGTTATGAGATCACTCAGGCAAAGTTTAGGCTGCGCGGCTGTAACTGGATATTTCCCCCTCGTTTCCTACAGGGACACTTTGTTTTCTCATGGATGTGCCCAGTAGGACTCTGGGGGGAAGCAGGCATCTTCTGCCAAGACTTGGATATTCAAAAATAGAATTTTTGTAGACAGATGAGACGTTGAAGATCAACTAACTAACCCACTAAAATTTCTGATGGAGGATGTGAAGTCTGATTTAAGAACTTCTCTTGGCCAAGTTTATCCAGCTGTTTGGAAGAGAGCTGGGTCCAGAATTGTATTTGCTGGGTCCTATGTTCATGTCCTGAGTAGTGTCAGGAGAACTGAGACTCTTCCAGGTTTTAAATCTATCGGGACCACTTGGAGAACGGTCAAAGAAGGCATGAGCTTGCAGATTAATTTTGGCTCTTTGTTTTCTTCCTAAGAGACAATCTGGGATTGTACTTTCTCTCATTCATTCTTTATTTTTTTTTCCATTGTGGATTCTTCATTTGTTGTTGATGAACCTGCTTGCTTGCTCTTCTGCTTACTTTAACTCTGCTTGGCACTCTGAGGCTAGTAGACCTCCATAAAGTTGATCAATGCCCATATGCCAAGTTCTCCCCCTACATGGGAAGCCATTGTCCTTTAAAAACCAAACTAGCTGCCAGCAAGTCTGTTTTGACTCGGTCACTCTATAGAGCACAGTAGAACTGCCCTTCGTTTGTCAGAGACTTTAAATCTTCACAGGAGCAGACAGCCTCGCCATTCTCCCGAGGAATGATAGGTGTGTTCAAACCACTGTCCTTGCATTTTGCCTACTTAACCCCCTGGACCGCAAGGGCTTCAGAAGTCAGTGCAGTGTAGGAAACTCACATCAGACCAATCTGCCCATTGCCCAATTAAAATGTAAAAATTCTATACTTAGGCATAAATAATAAAAATTAATCAATGGAGATACATATAATTTTAAATATTCTTAGACTTTTAATGACAAATTGAATTGTTTTCTCTACATTTTCCTTTTAAATATATTACAGAAATACTGTGATTTTTCTTAATGCAGGTATCAGTAAAAAGCTTTTCTTTTCTAAGTAGAGTGAACTGTATTGTTTTACTCCAAAGTGGCAAAAAAATAATTACTTTTGAAATTAGACTAATAATTACTGTCACTATATAACCATATATATAACCATATAATCTGTTGAGAAATAAATGATTGTAATTATGTTTAATTTTTTAGTCACTCAGATTGTATCATAGTATCTTAGAATAGAAAGTCTTAATCAGTGATATGGCATGCAGAATACTTAAAATGTTTCACATTTATTTTATGTATATGATCTATTTTATTATATCAAATAGAATCTTTTGAGGAGAAAAGGTGGTTTTCGTAGTACATTGACAGGGAGCTGCCAGAAATTTGAGCTGTCTTCAGGAGAGGACATGGAAAATGTTGATGTCAGATGCATCTTGGCTAGAAGCAGAGAATACCAGGAAGTCGTTTATCTGCATTTATTGTCTATGCAAAAGTATTCACCTTTATGGATCCTGATAAATATGGATGACATTCCAAAGAATGGGAATACCGGAATGATTAATCCTGTTCATATGGGCATTGTACATAGATCAAGAATCAGTTGTTTGGAAAGAACATGGTGATAAAACACGGTTTCAGATCAAGAAATGAGTGTGTCAGGGTTGTGTCCTCCCACCCTTCCTATTCAGTCTGTTTGAGGGGCTGATGATCCGAGGAGCTCACCTGGGAGACGAACCAGGCATTGAGACTAGAGGAGGTCTCACACACAATGTGCAGTATGCCGGTGGAACCGTGTTTGCTAGAACCGAAGATGTGACTCCCTTCCTGATGAAGACCAGAGACTGCAGCCTTCCCAATGTAAAGAGAAATAATCCTCACAAATAGATCAAGAGACAACGTTATGATAAGCAGAGAAAGCATATTGAACTTGTTAAGGATTTGGCTTTATTTGGATCCACCATCAATGCTGATGGACGCAGTAGTTAAGAAATCCAAAGACCTAGTGCACTCAACAAATCTGGTCCATGAGACCTTTTAAAGTATTTAAAGAGCAAAGATGTTGCTTTAAGGACTAACGGGTGCTTGCCTCAAACTATGGTATTTTCAGTCATCTCATACGCATTTGAAAACTGAATAATTAATAAGGAAGACAGTAGAAGAATCGATGCTTCTGAGTGATGATTTTGGCAAAGAACACGGACAGTGTGGACATTCAAAAGAAAGAGCAAACGTGTCTTGGAGGAAGCCCAGCCACAGTGCTCCTTAGGGATGAGGATGGGAGACTGTCTCATGTACTTTGGACTTGCTATCGGAGGGACCAGTCCCTGGAGAAGGACGTCATGATTGGTGAAGTAGAGGGGCAGTGAAACAGAGGAAGATCTTTCAGGAAACACGTTGACACAGTGGCTCTAAGCACGAGCTCAAACCTTCCAACGGTGGAGATGCTGCAGGGTCAGACAGTGCTTGTTCTACTGTGAGTGGAGTTGGTTGTGGGCGTCTAATAGGAACAGCAGCAGCAACATGTCCATTATTTTCTATGTTGAAGATAATGATAACCACTGAGTGTGCAGCCAAATTCCTCTTATCTATATTTCGGTGCTCATTTCAGTGAATTCTACCTTTTTCAGTGATTTCCTCTTTGAAGCTGCTTTTTCACAATGATCATTTGATCAGGAAGCTATAAAGTTGAGATCTATAGCAGTGAGTAAAAATACTTATAATCATGCACTCTATAACTTTGTATCCTCTTTCCTTTAAATAAAATGATTATCTTTAGGATAATCATTTTTATTGTCTACCATGTCTACCAAATAAATGTAAGTTTAATTTTTGCATACTGGCCAATCCAGTAGATAAGAACATGGTCACCTTAACAACTCTAGTGCTGCTGTGTAAACTGGACTGAATACATGTTAATACATGAAAGCTAATAGCTTTACAATGCTGTAATAAGTGCCAAATGCATGATAGTTCTTTTTTACTACACTGGACTTTCAATGGCATCACTTTAAGGATTGTATTTCAAAAGTCTAAAAGGCCAAAAAGAGATTGAAAAAAAAAAAAAAGAGATGGAACTACGTTTTAAGGTTTAAAGAGATGAAAACCAGTTAGGGCTTGTGTTTTTTGCTGTCAGAAATGTCATGTTATTTTGGAGTCCAGAAAAAAAAAGATTCTGTGATAAAATCAAAGGATTATTGCAAAATATAATTTTTCAAGATTAAATAGTTATAATATGATTTCATTAAATTTTAAAAATCTCCCTTAAAAACTTAAACATTCACATAGTTCATCAGCTTGACTTTTGAGTGACATCAGTTGGACATCAGTTTCTTGATGTTCAGAATAATACTTGCTGGCAATTTATTCTGTTTTTTTAGTCTGACTAATAGTCGGCTATTGTCCATCTTATTAAAATATAAAGTTATTGAAAGAGAACTAGTGTGTCCACTGAAATTTATAGTTATATCAGTTTTGGGACAACTAGTCTCATTAAATAAAGGTGTGCAGAATAAATTAAAGAAAATCTATAAGCCATCTAACTTTCAAGTAATCGGCGACATGTTCAGACCACTCTGTGGATTGTACTCTTTTTTGGAAGAAATTGGAGACTAGAGATGGCTGCAGTTGGATATTCCTCACTTAATAAGTGGCAATTTTAATTCTGTTTCTTTTAAACACTTTATAGAATATGAATATTTTAGATCCCCTAAGGCTTATAGATACTTGCAAGTGCCGTTTAATAAACAATTCATGATTTGATTCAATAAATGTATTTTCTTTTTTTAATGCCATGACTGGTGCAAACGGTTAGGCACTTGGCCACAGAGCAAATGGCTGGTGATGTAAATCCACTCTGATGTACCTTAGAATGGACTGGCGATCTACCTTAGAAAGATCACAGCCATTGGAAACACGAGGGGCATAGCTCTATTCTGAAACACATGGGCTCAAAAAAAATTTTTTTTAAGGAAAAATTATGGCTGAACTGTCCTGTGATCTTTGATGAAGGTGTTCTTTCTGGAAACGTTTCATTCTAAGTTTGAAGATTAACTTCACTAGACCTTTCGTGAAGTCCCTGGATGATGCGAACTGTTAATGCACAAGCTGCTTTTTGTGAACAGCGTTAGACTGATGAAGCAGCTAACCTGTTATTTGATGCAGTTGCTTTTAGAGTCTGCTATTGATTCTGTACAGGAAACAATAGTCATGTGAAGGCAAATGCTTATTTGTCTCCTCCTGACTTTTCCAAGGAAAGGTTGAAAGTGCACAGGCCGGAGTGAGAAAGGGCAGTAGGAACACTTGAAAGAGGAGTGAGGGTTGACTAGACAGCGGAGAAAGAGAGTTCCATGTTTACAAGACCAGGAGAGCACCAGATAAGGAACAGTGAACGTTAGTAGAACACCATGGAGCATGGCATTGGTTAGTTAAGAAGGCCTCTACAACCAGGCTGTAGAGTTTTCATGTGTTTCGATGATGAGCTCCCAAACGTTTCTAAGCCAAGGAATGTCACGATATAGACTACTTCAGGCAGAGGGCCTTGACTGCAGTCCTCCGGAAAAGAAAGAAAGGCAGGCCCAGGCACCAGAGGTGGCTGGCCCAGAGCCCGGGACCTGTTGGTGTCAGGAGCATCAATCCGATGATTCTGACAATGGGAGCTTGTTTTACCTGTGTACCATGACAGGGATACATGATGCTCATTTTGAAGCAAGCCCAACCTTTTATTATTCTAGGCTGTTTGTGGTGGAGGAGCCCTGGTGGCGCTGCAGTTAAGCTTCCACATGCCAGGTGCTTTCATCACTGTACAACCACACCTCCTTCACAAATGTTTTATTATGTCCCTATTTTATGAATACCGATCTGACCTATATTATGAGGATTTGCTATTTTGCATAGGAAGTGAGTAGAAACATCCATCTGTACAGGTAAGAAAAGTGCAACAACAGAGCATACTTTCCTTATTGGGAAATGTGCATCTTTGATTCTATATCATTAAATCACTCATGGGATTGGGTACATACATAAAACGCAGATCAATATCATTTCTGTCCTGGATCAAAAGTGTCTTGGAATTTTTAAGTATTCCACACATAGATAATGTAGAGCCCTGGTGGCACAGAGTGTTAAATTAGGGCCACAAATTGCAAGGTCAGCAGTTCAAACCCACTAGCTACTCCATGGGACAAGGATGAAACTGCTGCTCTTGGACACTCACCATCTCAGAAGCCCGGTGGGAGCAGTTCAGCCCTGTCCGATAGGTTTGCTATAAGCCACAACTGGGACAAGAGCAGTGCTTATAGAGCATAGTTGATAATGCCTTTTTGCATCAAAGTTCCTGGGATCACAGATTATATATTGTGAGCTTGGGAGGCAATGAAAAAGATAGTAGGAACCTGAAGTGCCCAACTGGTCTGCATGTACCAACAATGTGTTTATCAAGTGGAATATATCATTTGAGAGCGGGACATGCAGACATTTTGATTTTTGTGGTTCACATGCTGTCTGCCAGCTCTCATTATCGAGCGACTTTCAGGAGGAGGATGAATAGGAAGCAGCACTTTCAAGCTGGTGGCTGTGCTGATCCAGGCCCTGCCATGTTCTTCTCTCTTACAGTCCGTGCTTTGCAGAAACTATCATGAGGCTGGACACGCAGACCTACTGTGAGATAGAGAAATACAGAGGGTTTGCTGTTGCTATTTGAAAATTTAGCCTGATAGGTTAGCCAAATTTGTGGTGAGGTCTTACAAAAGGCAACTAACTGTGAATTCATCTCAAAGAAAAATTATTTTGTGAGCTTCAGTCCATGCCTATATTATATGAAATCAAGCGGCTGTAAAGAGGGTGTTTATTTGTCAACAGTGTGCAGCAATAATGGATTGAAGTCTGTATGATTCTATGTATTGTGTTTTGGTAAAATGCACTCTTAGAATATTCCATTCTTTTGCTCTGTTTCTTATTCTGCAGCTTGTTAAATGATTGAGAGTTGTTCTCTGGGGTTGTACTCTATCCTTGAAACCTAGGATAAATTTTTTCAAGTGCGTAAGAGTATTTGACAGATAAAATGAATCTAACATCTTAGATGTTTGAAAAGTTCTAAAAAGTCTTTTATTTTGTTTGTAACTTGAACACTAGTCTTGGATATAAAGGAAATAAGTGTTAATTAGTTGGAGTATTGATTTTAGGTAATATATTTATATTAGGGTGTGTATTAGAAACTACATCTAATATGTAAAGTTTTCTCTTACTGATTCTTTATTTCCAATATACATATATTTCTGTATATACATGTGCAGATACATTCTGAAGATTTCAGTGGTTTTGGATCTTTTTGATTGTCATTTTTGTGTATGATATTATATGCATGTTGTATATTTTTTCATTTACTCTTGCCGATTCGTTTCCAGCTGACTTCCATAGCAGCGGGCACATTGTCGTTAATGGATGGAAGATACATAACACAGCCAAAAATAAGTGGTTTGTGTGTATGGCAAAAACAGCTGAAGAGAAGCACGAATGGTTTGAAGCTATTTTGAAGGAGAGAGAACGGCGAAAAGGTGAGTGTACGAACTGGGCTTTATTGCATATTTGAAAGGAGCCCTAATGGCGCTGTGGGCTGGGTGTTTCTCTGCTAGCTGCAAGGTTGGCACCAGAAACTCAGAGGCCACTGGGGGAGACAGTTGAGGCTCTCTGCTCCCATAAAGATTTACAACCTCAAAAAACCCTATAATGGTGGCTATGCCTATGAATCCACTAGATGGCAGTGGTTTAATTTTTTTTTTTTTTAATACTTGGTGAAGATTTTAACTTAGCATGAGAGCCAATAATGGGCCGAAGTTAAGTCAAAGTGGAGAGGAGCATGATGCTGGATATTAAAAGACAAGTTTCAATCATATCATGCAAGGTTGTAATTTCTCCAGCAATTGTGTTTATGTTATTTAACCATACCGTGGACATTCCCAGTCAAAATATGATCTTGTCCCCTTAATTATATATTAAGCCCCTTTGGGTATATTAATTTTAATAAATTGAAAGAATATCATTTTAAAAATCATTTTATTGGGGGCTCGTACAATTCTTATCACAAGCCATACATACATCCATTGTGTTAAGCACATTTGTACATTTCTTGCCATCATCATTCTCAAAACATTTTCTTTCAAAAGAATATCATTTAACTTATTGTAATATAATGCAGTAAGTACCATATATACTCGAGTATAAGCCAACTGGAATATCAGCCAAGGCACCTAATTTTACCACGAAAACTGCATAAAGAATGTGCTGAGAAACTCAGCTTATACACAAGTATAGATAATAGCTTGTCGTCATCAAGAGACCTGGCTCTAACTGCCTTTATCATTTTAACCAAATTTGCAAAAATGGGTTTAGTGTGTTATTATTCCATTGTGTAAAGTTCTTCTGCAAACAGTCCTTTTGTGTAACTCAGGTAGGAAATGGAAATCCTTATAGAACTACTAGCTTTATTTTTAAATAATTGATTAAAAGCACACACACAACTCTCTTTATTCCTTGTCCCAGACATCCAGGAGTAAAACACCTTTTAAGTGAGAAGCCCAAGATGTCCCCTTAAATCATTTTCTCAAACTTTCTAAAGATCATTGAAAATGTCTCCATTGTTCAAAATGTGTCCTCAGCACACATTTGTTTAAGAATTTACTAAGCATTTTCAAATCTTATTCCTTTGTGGTTGTTGGATGAAGAACCAGATAGAAACTGTTTGAAGACGGAGGTCAGAAATGCATAACCGATCCTTTGGGTTTTGTTAAATCTTCTACGCCAACTACAATAACATAGTAGGTCAAGTAAAAGGTTAATATACTTTTTCATCAAGGTGGACCTTTAAAAAGGTTTTGTTTTTTTTTTTTTCCAGAATGCCTTTCCACGTACATTCACTGAAGTTAAAAAAAAAAGGACAAATAGACGAGCACATTAAAAACAAAGAAAGAGGCACACTTTATAGAGCTGCTTAGGGGATTTAGCAGGCTGACAGCTCTTACAGGGTGGAAATACATTAGTAAGAGATTGTGAAGCTAGAAAGGAGCCCTGGTGGCAGAGTGGCATTGAGTTGCCAGCAGGTAGAAGCCACAAGCCTCTCCAAAAGAGGAAGACTGTGCTTTATATTCCTGTGAAGAGCTAGTCTCTGAGACCCACCGGGGCAGTTCTTCCCTGTGCTAGAGGATCACTGCGAGTCCGCATTGGCTCCATGGGAATTGACGGACTTTGCCCTTCCTGGATCTGCTGCGCTTTCCTATAATGGTCTCTCTTCAGTAAACCCCTCTCCAATTCTGGATGTTCATCACTGTCCTCAAAGCTCTGTTTCAAAAGCAAGAATTTCTAGAGGTACGCCACCTCTTTCCTCCACCTCCTGGCTCTGCTGGTTAAAACCCTCTGATCCTTCTAGACACCTGAGGGGCAAAATTAAATTGAGAGTAGGAATTTCTCTGACCCTGCTGTCCCTTCCTTTCGTGCATCTCACCTGAAACCTCCTTTACACCTCTACCACTTAGATATATCTATTCATATTTGTGCATTTCAATATGCACCTTCTGTGAAACTTTTCCTACTATTTCCTGGGTGGAGATTATTTCTATTCCCTGTGGGAAAAAAAAACACCTCAAAAAACAAAAACAAACAAACAATCCAAACCCCCTCCCTGCCATCAATTCACCATCAAGTCTATTCTGGCTCACAGTGATCTGCAGAACTTCCCCTGTGGGTTTCCGAAGGGTGTACATCTTCACTGGAGTAGAACGCCTCTTTCTCCTACGGAGGGATGATGGTTTCCAACTGCTGACCTTGGTGTCCTGAATATGTCTTTATTTTACCACAGTGCTTTGTCACAATGATTCCACTAGGAGTCTCTCTTCAGGGCCACTCAGTGTAGGAATGCCAATCAAAGTCTGCATAGAGGCGCCAGCCTAACTCGTCCATGGAGACTGAGATCCGGCTCCTCTTACTCCATCAGTAAGGCACACATTCAGGAATGGTGTCTTACTAGGAACTTCTTGAAGCTAAAGCTCTATCTTATATGGCCCTGTGTTGGCAGACCCCAGCACACAGTAGACATTCAATCAATAGGTGTTTAATCAAGGGATGATACATTCTTCCAGTTAATTGCTCTGTTTTCCTTCTTCCTTTTCTGATAGGTTTAAAATTAGGAATGGAGCAAGACACCTGGGTAATGATCTCTGAACAGGGCGAGAAACTTTATAAGATGATGTGTAGCCAAGGAAATCTGATCAAAGACCGAAAAAGAAAATTGACGACATTCCCTAAATGCTTTCTTGGAAGGTAAGGTTGGTGGTTTGGGTGCATGTAGGTTTTTCATGTTTTCACTACTTCACAGGTTAACTTTCTTTGGATTATTTAACATTTATTTAAAGCTAAATATCGTGTTAACGTTTATATAGATGTTCCCAAGCATATTCGTTAATTACTTTTTTACGTGGTGAGGTATATGTGACAAACATTGCCATTTCAGTATCTCCACATGTATAATTCAGTAGCATTTAATACTCTCATCATTTTGTGTAGCCCCGTTCACTATCTGTTTCCCAGTGTTTCTGCCCCGTTCTTCATTGTTTTGACTACTACTTGATTATCAGTGTTTTCATGGGGGTGAGGGAGACCTCCCTCTAGTCATCACCATGACTTCAACAATAGTTGTCTCA